GCAAGAAATGATCGTTATTTTAATTTAATTAAACTTCACCTAAACATATGTAAATGGCTTGTATAATAATTATTTGAGCCGCTCTCCGTACAGTTCGTACATGAATATTCAATTTATTAATTGAATAGTCACAAATAACACCAGCGATAATACCAACGGTTCCTTGTGTGGCATAAGGAAGCACTAAAAAAGGTTATGAAGTTAAGAGTTTCATGTACATGCAACTTAATAATTACAGATTATAACATTATATTATCGCTACTAATTATTACGGAATAAATTCTTACTGGCAAAATACCCGAGATTTTTAAGATCTAATTTAAAATGATCCAAAAAAAATAAATAGGCAACCAGTTGAGTAAGATAAAGTTACCAAATGAGTTGCAAAATTGAGTAATTATTATAGCCCACACTTCAAGACGTGAAAGAATGAGTTTCCATGGAATTTTTTTTGAATTTGGCATCGATTTCTTTGGCAATAGTGCATCAACCTCAGATCCGAATTCATTATCTTCCTCGTTTACAAAATTATTTAATGGAGCATCAGAATTTGCAGTATCATTCTCATTCGTTGTTGATTCTCCATGATAACTCAAATTTTCATTTTTTTGTTTGCCTTTTAAAATTAGATCCAACTCTTCTTGACTAATTCCTGAATATTCATTTGGACTGCTTTTGCCATAAATTTGCCATAATATAGACCAAACGAGTCCAACTATTCCAAACGCCCAAAAAAAATACTATGCCAACCAAAAGGACCAGATCCTAACCAAGTTGATATCGGCAAAAGCAATCACAATTCCTAAATAAGAAGAAGCTGTGTACACAATTTATACATGTTAATAAAAAATTTTTATTAATGAAATTGTAGTTATACTTACACACAATAGTCGAAATTGCTTTATTATTCTCTTCTATCGGAAACCAAGCAGAAATCAAGGAATTTACGGTTGGAAAACATGCACCTTCACCAACGCCCAAAAGTATTCGACATAATAAAAGATATCCTAACCCAATCTTAGCAGAAATTGGTGTAAGAAAGGTAAATAGTGTCCATAATGTGGCAGCTAAGAACATTTAGATATAATTCAAATAATTATTATACAAGCCATTTACATATGTTTAGGTGAAGTTTAATTAAATTAAAATAACGATCATTTCTTGC